GGCGGGAAATTTAAAAAATTTTAAAAAAATGTCATTTTTTTTTTTTTTTTTTTACATTTTACACAGTAAAACATTGCTGCTTCAACCTATTTCACATACATATTGTCCCTAGTGCTTTGTCCTGCGCCCTGCCTGCATTTTGTCTATTCTTTCTGCCTGGAAACTGAGAAACGTCCATGGCGTCCAAAAAGTGTCCCTTTAGGTCAAAAGCGGTTTTAGATCAGCTAGAGAACAGCGATAGTAAATCAGAACCACTTTCAGAATTGAGTGATAATGATTCGTGGGGGAAATTCGTCATCAGAAACTGAAAACGATTTTGCGACTTTGCTCAGCGATGTGCGAACTTGGCGCTCTATTTCACATTTCAGTTTTTTGGTTTGATTATATTATTGAATTAAATTTTTTTATTATTTTTATATTTTTTTTATGATTATTTATTAAATTATAATTTATGATTTTGTGTTTCAAATTTTATCATACCCGGGATGTTTACTAGACTCTTGTTCGGACAGATTTCAGTGAGTTTTTCCTAAAAATTACAGCCTACAATAAAAAAAATACATATTTCCATGCAAAAAAATGGTACCGCTTACGCTTTCAGCACCAAAAATCGGAAATAATCATACCGCCAGGGAGGTTAAAAGCCTAAAGGTGCTTATTGGATTTTGGGGACCTGTACTTGGCTAGACTGCCAAAATGTCTCTCACATGTGGTACCCCCCATACTCGGGAGAAGTAGCAGAATGTATTTTGGGGATTAATTCCACACACATATACATATGGCATGTGTGAGCAATAAATTATTTAAATGACAATTTTTGTTTTTGTCATTTTCCAAAAACTTGTGGTAAAAAAATAAATTCTTCTATTGATTCAACATGCCTCTCAGAAAATATTTTGGGGTGTCTACTTTCCAAAAAGGGGTCATTTTGGGGGGTGGGGGCATTTTACGCCCCGCATTAGAAGTTTTTATGCCACACATCACTCACTCTTCTAACCACCTGAAGACGAAGCCTTTTTTGACACTTTTTGTTCACATTAAAAAAATCAGTATTTTTGCTAGGAAATTAAAGTGAACCCCCAAACATTATATATTTTTTTTAAAGCAGACACCCTAGTAAATAAAATGGTGGGTGCTGCAATTTTTGTATCTCACATAGTACTTACACAGCGATTTTTCAAACGCAATTTGTTTGAAAAATATACACTTTTTTATTTTAATGCACAAAAACACAATATACCGTATTTTCCGGCGTATAAGGCGACAGGGTGTATAAGACGACCCCCTAATTTTCCAGTTAAAACATAGGTTTTGGGCTATACTCGCCGTATAAGACTACCCCCCTTCTGAGGCAACACCATTTAAAAACATCAGATTTTTTTATTGAAATGGTTATGACTTACCGGTACTTAAAATCCTTCAAAATCCTCATGTTCATCCTCTGACATCATAAGTTCATGAATGACATCTTGTGATACATTTGTAAGACAGTCATCATATGGATCAAATTCCATATCAGATGGTTACCGCTGGATGTGCAGTAATACGGTAGCTTCGGCTACATACAGTATACAGTATATATACAGCCTGCTGGATGTGCAGTAATGTACATACAGTATACCGCGCTGAGCCAAGCTGGCTCAAAACAAATGTCCCTATGACAGATTAATCTGTCAGCCCGCTGGATGTGTGGTATATACAGTATACTGAGCCAAGCTGTTTCAAAACGTACCGGTACGTCCCTACGGTAATCAGACCGCTGGATGTGTGTATGTACAGTAGCTGAGGCTACATACAGTATACGCTGGGCCAATCACGGCGAGCGATGTATTCTACTAATGAATACAAAGCCTGCTTGGATTGGCTGAGGTTGTGACATCATCACCCCACCTCTCTGACTCAGCCAATTCGAGCAGGCTTTGTATTCATTAGTAGATTACATGACTCGCCGTGATTGGCCCAGTGTATACTGTATGTAGCCGCAGCTACCGTACATACACGCATCCAGCGGGCTGATTACAGTAGGGATGTACCGGTACGTTTTGAAACTGCTTGGCTCAGCGCAGTATACTGTATATACCGCCATCCAGTGGGCTGACAGATTAGTCTGTCATAGGGACATTTGATTTGAGCCAGCTTGGCTCAGCACGGTATACTGTATGTACAGTATTACCACACATCCAGCCAGCTTGACCCAAACAAAGTCAAGGTTCACATTTTATACCCCGCGTATAAGACAACCCCCAATGTTTAGGGTATATTTTTAAGTATAAAAAGTAGTCTTATACGCAGAAAATACTGTATTGGCCAATTATTTGGTATGATATAAAAGATGATGCTATGCTGAGTAAATAGATAACAAACATGACATGCTTTATAATTGCGCATGCCCTGTGCAATGGCAACAAAACTGCATACATTTTTAATATCTATAGGCAACGCTTTAAAAGCCTTTACAAGCTACCATTTTAGATTTACAGAGGAGGTCTAGAGCTATAATTACTGCCCTTGATCTGATGTTCGTGGCGATACCTCATATGCATGGTGCAATCACTGTTTCCATACTGGCACAGGGTCAACGCTCACGACCGGGTTGGGCGAGGGTTCTTTTTTTTTTTTTTGATTTATTTCATTATTTTTACACTGTCCCTTTAATTTTTTTTTTTTTATAACTTTTAATGCTATCTCGGAGAGGGAGGGGGGGCATTTACTACCGCTGCTTGTAAAAGCAATCCTGCAGCTAATTAGCCATTAGGAATGCTTTTACATGAAAGCCCATCACCAGCTGAAAATAAATGATACCAGGATGATGCCTGCAGCTGCAGGCATCACCCTGGTATAACCATTCAAAGTCCAGTGATGTACCAGTACGTCGCTGGTCCTTGTTGGGTGTATATGCTATGTTCTTTTTTTGTTTATGCAGCCTTTGGGCTGAATGAAAAAAAAAAAGAGAAGAAATCTCTGCCAGAAAAAGTGTGTCTCATCCGACAGCACTGCACACACCTACTTATGTCTATTCTGAAAGCAAGACCCTGTTGCTGTCAGAATAAACAGGTCAGTGCTGCAGTTTGACATTCCTGCAAAGAAATCAACAATGGTTAACAATAAAACATTAACTCAATAAAACAACTTTGTAATTGAAATATCTCTGCAAGGAAAAGTGTGTGGTGGTATGCCCACCATTAGAAAACCTCCCTTCATCCACCCACTTCTAATGGTGGGGCACACATGAAATGTGCCAACAAATATAAATATATATGCCGAAGCATATGGGCCATCCACCGACTGGCCACCCCAGGCCCCCATGCTTCTGCATATATGCTCTTTTTTTAACTGCGGATGAAATATCTCATCCAACAGCGCTGCCCACACTGATTTATGTATATTCTGAGAGCAAGTTCCTGTTGCTGTCAGAATAAACAGGTCAGCGCTGCAGCTGAAAGCATTCCTGCAAACAGAAATGGTTAACAATAAAACAGAAACAATAAAACAGTAAAAGTAGAACAATCAGAAAAATGACAACAAAAAAAAATTATAACTATTTTTGGTTTTTACATTTTTTTTTTTTTTTGGGGGATTTGTACTTTTATTTTTTTTTTTTTTTTAACTTTTTTTTCAAACTTTAAACATTTTCAAATGCGATAGCCATTTTCTTGACTACCTAACATCTTTCGAGACCCTGTGTAACTGTGCCCTGAACTGTGCCGTGCTGTGCCCTATACTAATACTCTACTAGTGTATGGTAGAGGCGGAAGCAGGTCTTGACGCAGAGGCCAGATTGGTCAGGACAGGAGTGACAACAAAAGTGACTGTCACTTCTAATTCCATGTCTGCTACAGACACAACATCTTTTTTGGGGACTTTGGGTTGGGGTTCCAGGAATGGTATTGGGAAAATGCCTCTCATGCAGCCAGCTAACTGCATCTGGGATGGGGGTTTGGGGTGCAGCACCTTCTGGATACAAAAGGGCCCTGTTGATCTTTAACTGGAATTTTAGGTAGAATTCATTATGTCCAGTTGCTTTGTAGAGAAAAAAAGCGTTATATAAAGCCAGTTGAAATAAATAAACAGACACTTTTTTTGTACCAGCGTCTGGCTTTTCAGGAAACTAAGTACGGCTTCATCATCTGGTCGTTGTAGTCCACCCCTCCCATGTTAAGGTTATACACAGACACAGAGGGGCTTCTCAACAACACCAGCTGCCATGGCAATTTGGATGGTTGTATCTGCGTGAATGGAAGACTGGAGGTAAACATCCCGTTTGTCCTTCCACTTCACTGCGAGCAATTCTTCGTTTCTCAAGCAGGCTTTTTCCCCCTTTCTAAGACAGGTATTTACAAGCTGTTGGGGGAAGCCCCGGCGATTAGATCGCACAGTGCCACATGCGCAAATTCCCAGATTGAACAAATGTCTAAATAGTGGCACGCTTGAATAAAAACTGTCCACGTATAAGTGGTACCCCATATGGAAAAAGGATGACACCAAGTCCCAAACTATCTTGCCACTACTCCCCATGTAGTCTGGGCATCCGGGGGGCTCCATGTGACTATCTTTTCCCTCATAAATCCGAAACTTACATGTATAGCCTGTTGCCCTCTCACAGGTCTTATACATCTTCACCCCATATCTGGCACGCTTGCTGGGGATATACTGTTTGATTACAAGGCGGCCAGAAATTTGAATGAGGGACTCATCGATGAAGATGTTTTTATGGGGAGTATACACATCTGCAAATTTTTAGTTAAAGTGATTTACGAGGGGCCGAATTTTGTGGAGCCGGTCAAATTTAGGGTCACCTCGAGGACGACTGAGTGTGTTGTCGTTGAAGTGCATAAAACGCATTATCGTCTCATATCTATGCCTGGCCATGGCAGCAGAGAACAGGGACATGTAAACAAGGCGGGTCTGTGGACCAATACAACCTCAATTGGTTTTTTTTATTAATGCCTATGTTGAGGGTTAGGCCCAAAAAAACGTTAAATTTGGAAACCGTAATGGGTTTCCATGCGAATGGTCTGGCAAGGTTTGAATTTGGGTTGGAGGTGATTAATTGTTGTGCTTATAAATTGATTTGATCCACAATCAGTGCATAAAGATCACCTGTGAAAAACAGCTCAAAAAAATATCAACTGGAGTATTTAAATTTGCTGTTTCCACCTGAATTCCGGATTGGGCAGTGAATGGGGGAAGTAAGTGTGCTTCAGAATTTGTGGGCTGCCAAATTTGCAAGCACATCCGGAAGGATACTAGGGGCACTACGGGCCTGTCTGCGATTTCTTGGTGGCCGCGGGACACTACTTGTGCTCGCCACCGCACCAGCTTGTACTGCACTTATGGAACTCGCCATGTCACCAAGTGATACTGCAGTGCTAGTATGTATAGGACCAGGATGGACTAGGCCGTTGGTGCTTGCCAGTTCACCAAAAGGTAGTGCGGCACTAGTAATGACACTCTGCTGCATATGAGAGTCATCATGCGTTTGTACCACCTCAGCAACCTGGGAATGGGGTGGGTACGCCTGATCTTTCCAGTGACCTCTTCTCCGTCGTCTGAGCTATCTGTCAGGGTGCCGCTGCTGTCTATAGGTTCATATTCTGAGCCTGATTCTGTCAGGGAGTCTTCCCCTTCGCTCTCACCTGACATGCTCAGAATCCTGTAGGCCTCTTCACTAGTGTACCTTTGCTTGGACAATTTGGCCACTAAATTTATAGGTACCTAGTGCGATTCACGGGAAAAAGAGCGCCTGGCTGTCAGGGACTGCTTGAACCGCTATAAAAAAATTACCGACAAGTGCTAACAGAGATCAGGCTTGATTCTGTGAACACTGCGGTTTTGTGTGTAATGTATCAAGTGACATTTATCTACTGACACTGCACTTGCTGGGGGAGAAGGGGGGGGGGGAGGGCGTAGGGGCTAAACGCAGGTGCTGGCAGCTGTCGGGGCTGATCCCACTAACGCTGCGTTTTTGTGGATACTATAGGAATGTGAACGCTGGTATAGTGCTGATCTGATCAAAGATATTGATCCAATCAGACACTATACTAGCAATGGAGGTTTAGCGTGCAAGTGAGCGTGTTCCTGGTAATCAAGGGTCAAATGTGATTACTTGTGTACTAGTGGCAATCTGACGCTATCTGGGAGGAGCGCTAACTGACGCTGACACTGTCGGAAGTCACCAGTGACACTAATACAGTGATCAATAAAAATCTGTTCACTGTAATCAACGGACACTTGTGACAGGGCAGTGAAGGGGTTAAATGGGATTACTGGTGTACTAGCGGGCAAACTGGTGCTATCTTCGAGGGGCGCTAACACTATCGGAAGTCGCCAGCAACACTGATACAGTGATCAGTAAAAATCTGTTCACTGTGATCAATGACACTGGTGACAGGGCAGTTAACTGGGGGGGGGGGGGGGGGCGATCAGGGGGTTAAATGTGACCTAGGTGTGTTCTAACTGTGAGTATGTGCGGTTTTACTCACTTTTACTGTGTCGTCTTCTCTCTCTGGGACGGAATGTGCCCAGGCAGAGAAGAATTACATCATATCCTGTCCTGTGTAACTGTCAACACAGGACAGGATAGGACAGGGACCGATCATCCAATTTCAACCGGACATCACTGGCTGGAACCGAATGATTGATCCCTCGGGGACAGCCGCGGGTCGGCGGGGGGCGCGCGCGCGCGTGCCCCCCCTGCCCACGAAAACCTCGGGAGCGCGGAGCACGTTTAAAAACGTGCTTTTGCGCAGCCGTGCCACCCTGCCACCATTTTAATGCAGTGGATGGGCGGCAAGAGGTTAATATATCAGTTGGTCTCAGAAGGTTGTTGGTGCCTTTCGGTGTTACAGCAGCTCACCCTTAGCGCTCACTTGTATGCCTTTTATCCTTATTATTTTTTCTACAAGAGCCTGCAAAGTATTGCAGCCATGATATGCTGATCATGATCAGATCAGCATGCTTGCAGTCTGTTTAAACTACGCTGCAGTGGAAGATGGTATTTGTAGTTCATTCAATCATAGATTGCTGTGAATGAATGATGTGGCTGTGTGGGAAGAGTCCCCCAGAGCTGTGACGATATCAAATGTGACACATGAGAACCCCCTCCCTCTTTCTCAAGGAAAAGCAGGGGTCACTGAACATGTTGTACCCTAAATACAGGTGCAATTTGTTCAAAAGATGAACTTATCCTTTAATTCCAGAAGCTGTGGAGTTGGGCTTTATATATCATATTTAAATCATAGAGCAGGCCTAATACCTTTTTCAGCTGTGCCTATATGTGCTCCATTATGGGCTAGAGAAATCTGAGGCTCACAGATAACTGCTTAAATTGTGTATTGTTGGAAGAGGTGATTGTAGCCGTATTAGTGCACTTGCAACAGAAACAATTGAGTACTGATGTGATACTTTTTTTATTTGCACTAACATACAATTTTGAGGAAAAGCTTTCAGGATATGTCCCCTTCTTCAAGGTCCAGGCAGTACTAATGTCCTAGATTAAAGCTTTTTGGCCCAGAAGAAGTAAACAGTGGAGGAGGCCAGATGCAAATTAGCTGGGAGGGGAAGGGGTTCTATGGTCATGTTAGAGAGAGTGGACCAATATAGTTTTCATAAAAAATATTTAAAACAAAATTGTCATTTTCTAAACTAAAATAATCAGATATCTACGCCCTGCAATAGAATAAGATGAATTCTTACCTCCCCACTAAGTCTTATAGCGACATAGCAGTTGGTGGAAGGAACCATGATGCTTGTTGTAAAACATTTGATCTTACCCAACCGAAGTATCAACAGTGGTGCTGCGGTATTGCCTGCATGGATTTTTGCTCTAAGAGACAGCAAAGAATGGACTTGCTGCCCACCAGAGAGGTAAGTATTTATCTTCTTCTTTTGCAGGGTGTAGCTGCCAGATTTTTCTTAGAGAATTGAGATAGATCACATTAAGGTAATAAAATGTCACTGAGAATATTGATGATGTTTCAAATTTTACAATAAGTGGTTAGTGTAACTTGATGTTAATAATAAATAGGATAAACAAGCATAGGATTGTTCTCTCTAAATAGACCCAATTCTCTTATGACAGAAACTAAGCTCACATCTTTATCTAAAGACTAAGGGGCCACCCATTGAGAACAGAAGAAAAGAAATTGCATGCAAACTTGGGGATGGGGAACTTTATAGTATCAGCAATAAAATACGGAATTTACTGCTTTTCGTGACCTGTCTTATGGCTCATTGGCTAAAAAAAACTAGTATTTAAACTTTTCTGTAACTTTCTTTCTCTGTAAAAAGTCCATGAAATGATTTAAACACACTGTCATGCAATAATCACAGACTGCTGGTTGCTCCCATCAGTCTTTGTCTTTGCATGAAAGTAGACTGTGTACTAACTAATGCTTGATCAGATAACTGACCTGCTTGTTAAGTGACAGTGTTGTTATTTTTTAATTTTATTTTGTCTTTTCCTAAAAAAACATCATCAGAACAAATATGGAGAAGTAGTTATTAAACTGTTAAACTGCACTAAAATATAAAGTTGCAGCGCTAACACTAAAAATATTAAATGATGTATAATATATATAAATTGTAAACACTGTGAAAAAAATTTTCAAGTAATCCATGGATCCTTAGGTACAAAATCACAAGGGCAGCACAGTGGCTAAATGGATAGCACTTCTGTCTGGCAGCACTAGGTCGCTAGTTCGATTCCCAACCATGGCACCACCTGCCTGGAGTTTGCATGTTCTCCCTGTGTAAACGCTGTTTCCTCAAAGTTTCCTTTGGGTACTCTGGTTTTCTCCCACACTCCAAAGACATGATGGTAGGTTAATTGGCTCCTGTCTAAATTGGCCCTTGTATGTTTATGTATGAATGTGAGTTAGGGACCTTAGATTGTATGCTTCTTAAGGGTTATAAACTGATGTGAATGTACAATATATATATGTAAAGCGCTGCATAGATTGACGTTGCTATATAAGTCTCTGTAATAAAAAAATAAAGTGATCAACCAATATATTATGCAAACAACACATAACCGCAAAAACCCATCTCTAGTAATGTATGATTATTCCAGAAATTATCACTACAAAGTGTTTAATGCTGTATAATAAAGTCCACATTAGACAGTGCTTTGTGCTCTCTGTCAAAAGTCCCAAAAAAACTTCTGTGCAAACTGTACTGCAAGATCAGAAATTTGTGCCACACCTCACATCCGTTGGGTTAAAGACACTCATTAGATGGATACTCCATACACCACTATTGGACTTTCCAGCCCCTATCTAATGTTTCCCTTATGGGTATTCAGGTGTTAGCATCATCATGAGGAAAAAAGTGTCAAGAACAAAGAAAAAAGTGAGTCTCCATAGCATAGTACCATTTTTATTAAAGCGTAAAATCCAAAAGCAAAGGTACTCACGTGTAGATGTGGACAGAAACCGCATTTCAATTAACCAGCAAGCGCTGCTACATCAGTATCCCACTTCATGTAAGCATGCGCTGCAGGGACGTGACGTCACCCGGAAGTCCATCTCAATGCATTTCATCATCAAAATGGACATCTTCAAGAATGGTACGCCTGGCATCTGCAACGCTTATTATGTATGGGGAAACCACCTTCATTATTTTATTAAATATTTTAGTCAGCCTATATGGTTCCAATATCAAATGTGTTAGTACTGTATATGAAAAAACTAAGAATACATACAACCTAAAAAATAAATAAAACTTATTATTAATACCATATATGGATAAAAGAAGGGACCAAAGATCCCAGCTAGTTGCTACTACTCAACCAGCACCATTTTGTGTAAAAAAAAAAAAGGAGCATACATTCTATAGTATTGTTTCACATATACTATAAAAAACCCTATAGCAAATATGACTTATATGTGTAAACGGATAAAATGGCTTTATAAAAATATATTTAAACATATACATATATATCAAAAAACATTTCCTATATAGACAAATATATTAACTTGACAAAATATATATATAGAATTCATATAGGCATTATCTCATATCATACTGGGACTTATCAAAAGTTTGCGTGGGGCCTAGCCTTGAAGTTTAAGGCAACCCATAGATAATTAATTTTATTTTTTTTGTTCTATCAGCTGGTTGAGCGAAATATATTACTCCTACTGAATTATTGTATTCTGACAGCAAGGAGACTTCCCAACAATCAGAATACACTGATCAGCGCTGCCGGCTATAGCTGATCATGCAGAAAATTTTCCAACAGGCTCATTGTATATTAGTTGGGACTTCTGTACGACCAACCTGCCCATACACGTGGATTGAAATTTGACAGCAGCGAGTGCATGGTCCCAGCTGAACTGGCCAAATTTCAGTCCATGTTGGGACGGTTTAAGTAACTGAACCCTAAATTGTCTAACCCAAATTTATGTGCTGATCCTAATCTTTACAATTCTGCCCTCCTGCTCTCTTGTTGTCTTTTGTAGTCCTCCTTTGGTGTGAAAAGTTTGCCCTGCTAGCCATGAGTCTCTGCTATGTATTCCTAACTGATTAATTGGCAATACCCCCACCCAAATCAGTATAAATGTAGGCCTTCCTTAGGGGAGGCCCAGCCAGGGGTAGCACAGCCAGGGGTAGCATTGGCAACTATCATCATGAATAAAGGATTGATCTTGGATTAAGTATTGCGCATTACACTTCGGTGAATGCACAAAGC